TATCCGTGCCACCTCATTAGTGCTGCCTATCAGTGCCGCCTATCCGTGCCACCTCATTAGTGCTGCCCTTCAGTGCTGCCTATCAGTGCCCTTCAGTGCTGCCTATCAGTGCCCATCAGTGCCACCTATCAGTGCCCATCAGTGCTGCCTCATCAACGCACATCAATGAAGGAGCAAAATTACCTGTTTGGAAAATTTTATAATAGAAACAGAAAAAAAAACTTTTTTTTCAAATTTTTTGCTTTTGTTTTTGTTTATAGCTCAAAAAAAAAAGTGCCCAGCGGCAATTAATTACCACCAAAAGAAAGCTCTATTTGTGAGAAAGAAATGATAAAAATTTCATATGGGTAAAATCTTGCATGACCGCGCAGTTGTCAAAGTGCGACAGCGCTGAAAGCTGAAAATTGGCCTGGTAAAGAAGTGCCCGGTAGGCAAGTGGTTAAAATTGTCCTGCTGCTGGCTGGCCAATTTTTCATTGTTGTGTCCCCTATGGCCTTAAATCTTGCAGTAAAATACCTGCCTGTACTCTTTATCTTTAATACATTTCTGGTATTATTTTCTGGCTAAAAAGGTCCTACTGCTGGACTGCGATTATTTTAACTTTTAGCTTCGGGGTTAATTGCTTTACCAGGGCAGAGACGGCCTTACATAGGAAAAAATTACAAAAAAAAGGTAAATAAAAATGAAAAAATTTTGTAAATATTTAAATAATACAATGTTTTAAATAATTGTATATACTAGCCACAAACTGGACAAAACCTCTATGATAGCTGAAGTCACGATCCAGACTGCCTCTCTGATTTGTTTCACCACCCTTGAAGTGGGCCAGATAGTCCATGGTCTTAGGATTCTATGCTTATCTTTTTGCTGCTGTCTGCCCTTCCACCAGTCTGTAGAATTTCCACCTTCTATTTATGGCTGCCTGCCTTTTCACAATGTGTAAAAAAGGGTTATCTTTGTTTGTTCTGCATAGGACAAGAGATGTTGTTTAGACCTTAATGCAAGATGCCCAACCCTTCTCCTCCTTACTGCCAGCACTCTAACCCTTCTAATTTTACTCTTTGTAAAGAAAACATAGAGGGGTGCCAAACTAAGTGCAGTATGGGACAATTACATTTATTAAAATGTAGCAAATTGGAAACTTACTATTGAGCAGTTAGAATAGGTATATAAAAACATCTCAGGAGGATCCCCAGGGTGATCTGGTTGATGTTCCGCGGCTCTATAAAAAATATAACAAACAAGAGATCCCTGTGCTCAAGAGCACAAGGATCTCTTGTTTGCTGTATTGTTGGGTCAGTAGCCAGACCAGAACCTTGTAGCTCTCCCCATTGTGTCTTTTCCCCTATGCTAGCATTGTGTCCACAGTAGCATTTGCGTAGGCAAGGCAGAGTAGGACTGGCCATAGAGGGATTACTTTGACGCAGTTGGTCAGCTTAAGCATGTATTGCAATATGTGTGAACTAAATATCTCTATTTATTGCATAGTTTGCTTGAAAGGGTATATACCAGTGTGCAGAGGGTCCTTTAGAATTTCTAGTGTCTATATAAATATATACACAAGCCTTATACCAATATTATCTACAGGTTACTTACCACCCCAGATGAAATAGAGGTGGAAAAAAATCAGTATACCTAAGATATTGTAAAAAGTATATTGAAATTAATTATCACATCTTAAATAGCTAGTTAAGCATGTGGGACATATAATGATATAATAATGGAATTTTTTTAATTAAAAGACTTATACATAAATATATGTGTATATGTATTTATACCCAGAATGAGTATAATACTATTATTTGATATATTATATAATCCATCTCCTCATTAAGACCTTTGGGGGCTAAAGTGTCCAATGTAAAAATCCAATAGGTTTCTTGTCAACACAATCGCTGAAAACATTCGGCTTGGGAGAATGTGTCTGGTATAGACTCAATGACCCAAGCTCTAAGATCCTTGGAGGATTTATTGTGATATTTACAAAAATGTCGTGGTACGCTACATATAGTTTTTCCTTCCTCCACCAGTCTGCGGTGCTCCCCTAATCTCTTGCGTAAAGCTCTGGTGGTGTGGCCAACGTACAGCATGCCACAAGGACATGAAAGACAATAAACCACATACATGGAGGAACAGTTGTGAAATTCACTAATGCAAAATGTTCTTCCATTGGTAGTAAATGACTTTTGGCCATGCTTTTTTGGACCTAGAACTTAGCCATTCCAACTCTTTTATTATAGCCAAGAAGTATACTAAGCCCACTGTGAGCAATTCATTTTTAAATCTTTCAAGTTGCCACCACTCTAAGTGGGTCAAAAATGTCCCCAAAAGTCAATTTTGTAGACTACGGCACAATTGTACTAGACTAAAGGATTATGCGCTACAAAGTCAGCTTTTGAAACAAAAGTTTCTTGAGAAGGGATATCCCGCAGAGATTGTCAATCAAGCCTACCCTACTTATTTGACCGATGAGGTTCCTGCACCAAAATCACAAATTCGAGATATCCCTGAGGTCAGATTTATAACACAATATCATTCTCAACATCTCAAGATGAAAATATTTTCAAAAAACATTGGTCTATTCTGAACCAAGACTCACATCTCAAACATTTCATTACTACAAATCCAAAATTTACATATAGGAAAGCTCCCAAAGTTAAAAGTAAAATTGCCCCCAGTAAAATCAAACCTTCAAAACAATTCACTGGTGGAAAACAACCTACCCTCATCCTGCTAGTGGGGATGTTTCGTTGTAACAAACCATTATGTTTCACATGTGGGCATGTACAGCATGGCCAAAAATTTATTTACTACCAACGGAAGAACCTTTTGCATTAGTGAATTTCACAACTGTTCCTCCATGTATGTGGTTTATTGTCTTTCATGTCCTTGTGGCATGCTGTACATTGGCCACACCACCAGAACTTTGCTCAAGAGATTTGGGGAGCACCGACGACTGATGAAGGAAGGAAAAACTATACATAGTGTACCATGACATTTTTGAGAATATCACAGTCTATACCAGACACATTCTCCCAAGTCAAACATTTTCAGCAATTGTGTCGACAAGAAACCTATTGGATTTTTACGTTGGACACTTTAGCCCCCAAAGGTCTTAATGAAAAGATTGATATTAGAGCACCTGAGCATCTCCAGAAAGGAAAGTGGCTATTGTGCACCCTTGTGGTGCATGAGCAATACTATAAAAATTATAATATGCCTGTCTGTGGTGCATGCATATTTTCAGAGCGGGTGCAAAATCAATAACCATGTGAAAATTGTGTAGGAGTTTGGTTCCACATAACAGTACACCAATATGCACCCCCAACACCTTGGGGTATAGAATGTCTGTCAACAATGAGTGTTAAAGTCGTATTAAACCCAAAAGCAAAGATTTATTATAATGCAGCTAATTCCTAGATGTAAAGGCTACATTTTGGAGGCTTTCTTTCATTTATTTTCACTTTCAAGTTTTTATTGAAATAATTTTGCAAAAGTTACAGTGATTACCGTTACTACATATGCTGATGAAAAAACAAAGTCAAGCACTCATGAATCAAAAGCAGCAAAATGTCATATGCAAGAACCGTGGTAATCAACAAAACAATCTGCATGACAAATGTACATTGATCAATTTATAGCAAGAAGTGAATAAACACGATATTGGTAACAAAAAAGTCCATGCGTCTGTATTGCAAAAGCAAGCGTATGTAGGTAAAGTAGTGATTTGGGAACTACAACAATTAATAAACATACAAGAAAATAAGCAGGAACACATCTTATTTCACTGATCAGTCCTGTGGGCGAGCCTAGAGACAAAGAGGAAGAAAAAAAAAAAGAGAGAAAAAGGGGAAAAAAGAGAAGGAGAAGAGAGAGAGAAAAGAGGGAGGGAAGTGAAAAATAGGAAATGAAGAAAGACATCAGAGGATCACAAGCCTGAACCCCAGGGGCTCAGCGTTATAATGATTTGTAACTAATGGCTGTCATAGTGGGATGAGCATGTTGGATCCATGGGGTTCAAATTTTAAGGAATTTGTCATGTGTATCTAAAAGAATGCTAGTTAACTTCTCGTTGATGAAGAAAAAATCCAAGCGGCGCTTGACTTCTGCGAAAGATAAAATCTGTTGTTTCCATGCCTTCGCTATGGTTTTTTTTTGCCTCCAGTAACACATAAGTTGCCAGTTTGAATTGAGTTTTAGGTAAACCCTTGGGTTTAAAATGCAGGAGGACATGCCACAGGTCCTTTGAGCATGAACATGATAGTAAGGAATTCAGAAGTTTGAGGACTTTCGTCCAAAACTGGGAGAGCTCGGGGCATGTCCACCAGATATGAAGAGGGTCTCTCAGAATAGTACAGCCCCTGAAACAGGTCCCAGGGATGTTAAGGTAGAGATGTGCTAGATGGAACGGAACTAGATACCACCTCCTGACCATTTTAACCACTTGTCTACAGGGCACTTATACCCCCTTTCTGCCCAGGCCAGTTTTCAGCTTTCAGCACTGTCGCACTTTGAATGACAATTGCATGGTCATGCAACACTGTACCCATATGAAATTTTTATCATTTTTTTGAGACAGATAGAGCTTTCTTTTGGTGATATTTAATCACCTCTGGGTTTTTTATTTTTTGCTAAACAAACCAAAATTTTTTTAAAAAAACATGTTTTTTCTTAGTTTTTGTTATAAAATTTAGAAAATAAGTGATTTTTCTCTTTTCACTGATGTGCGCTTATGAGGCTGCAGTGATGGGCACTGATGGGCACTGATAGGTGGTACTGATGGGCACTGATGATGAGGCACTGGTAGTTGGCACTGATGAGCATTGACAGGCATCACTGATGGGCACTAAAAGGTAGCACTCAAATATGGCACTGATAGGTGGCACTAATAGCTGGCACTGTTAGGCGGCACTGACTGTCACTGATAGGTGGCACTGACTGGTACTGTTAGGTGGCACTGATTGGCACTGTTAGGCGGCACTGATAGCAGCACTGATGGGCACTGATAGGCGACACTGACTGGCACGAATAGGTGGCACTAATTGGCAGCACTGATAGGTGGCACTGGCTGGCATTGATAGGTGGCACTGACTGGCACTGATAGCTGACACTGAAAGGCAGCTCAGATGGGCACTGATATGTGGCATTGATGTGCACTGGTAGGCACTGATATGTGGCATTGATGAGGCACTGATGGGCACTGGCAGGTGGCATTGATGAGCACTGAAAGGTGGCACTGGTGGGGCTACACTGATCATCAGGGCACACTGATCATCAGTGCCCTGATGATCAGTGTACATGTCCCCTCCGAGGAATGCCGATTACTGGCTCTCCTCTCGAGCTGTCAGCGTGACAGTTCATGAGGAGAGAAATGTCGATAAGCGGCATTTCCCTTTTTACATGCGATCAGCTATGATTGGACACAGCTGATCACATGACCGAGCCGACGTCTTCAGCTCTTTCCGTTGATCGGTGATCTGCTGTGTCCTAGGGACACAGCGCACCACCGATCGCCACGCTGCACGCTCCCGGAGCCGCGCGCGCGTGCTTTAGAGTGGGAGGACGTCATATGACGTCATCCCAGAATGAGAGATCCGCCTTGCGCCTGTCATTATCTTATATGGTGGGCGGGAGGCGGTTAAAGGCTGATTCTATGGTGGGAATATCAATTGAGCAAGAGGACAATGTTATCCAAATTTGTGACCAACAGCCCCTATCTTCGGTACACTTTAGGTCTCTTTCCTATCAAAACATCAGTGTGAATGTTAGGGTTTGGAAGCTTATTTAGCTGCGAGTGAAGAATAGATATAAGTTTGGGGGTCAGAGGTGTCCGGTGACAGATAAGTTCAAACAGTGACAGCTGGGTCATTAAGTCTTTGTCAGAAAGCACTGAGGTCAACCAATGTTTGATTTTCAGAGATCGGTATATATCCATAATTTCTTCCCAGGTGTAGACAGAGCGACCTTCTTTCATTTATTTTCATTTGGTGATCCAGCCAGTAAGTCTGTTGTTTTTCAACAGAACAAGCTTTTCTGCAAATGTTAGTGTGTTGTGACAAAACATTTATCGTTGAAAGGGTTGTTTACAATGATCAGCTTTTATTTATATATGTAAAACCTTTGTCCCAAAAGAAACAATGTTGCTGTAACTGCTTGTGTAACTGCAGCGTGAGCTGTTGTTTGGTTTCAATTTGTTAGTGTATCTAAATATTCTAGTACATCTAGTCCTTGGCTCCCCCTGCACTGACAGTGCTGCTGTCCATAAGTGCCCCTGTACTCTTTCATCCAGAGTGGAGACGCTCTAATAGAGGAGGAGTGTTATTGACCAGATCTCCGAGTGAAAACAGAGGAAAAAAGCCTAAAAAAGAAAGCTAATGCAGCCACCACATCTAATAATTGGTAAGATGCACATTACATATTTGTTTTTGGGTTTAATGCTGCTTTAAGTGCCAAGCAGTTAATAGGACTGTCATCAAATGCTATTACTTCAAGCAGTTGCAGACTGTCATACTTCTTACAAAGTGTACCTGACAGTTTAAAGAATGTAGTTATCAGACATTAACCTGGAGCAGGACTGTTTGTCACTTATAAGGGATTTATGCTGCCAGGAGCCTGTTTATATGTGTGACCTGCTTTTAAATTACATAATTGTTGTCATTTTCCTTATTTAAGAGGGAGTATAGGAGATGCTTTGGAGCATTAGAGATGGAAGTAAAATGGAGATATGGGGGATTTAGAGAATGATATAGAAAAATGAGAGAGGATGAAAAATGGGGGTAGGTTTAATTTGGACGCGATGGGTAGGAGAGAGAGAATGTGGGAAAGGAGCAAATAATGCAGAAAACTAGGGGGTATAGGTCAGAGAAATTACTGAAGAGGGTAAAAATGGGACAATAGGGCCAGAAAAGGGATCGGTAAAAATCTATGTCCTTGGACCGGTCCTGGACCATTAGACTAAATAATATGGTAGTGTGACCAGAGCACCCCTACCTAGAAAAAGAAGGTTACTAAATGATCCACGCGGAGTAATATGGGTTCAAAAATTACAAACAATATTTTATTTGATCACATAGATCATAAGGAGGTTAAACATGAGCACGGTGAACATGTCAAACAGATAAAATCATTTTAAAAGCACTTAGCGTCTTCATTTCAGGGTCATTTTGGCAAGTAGAGTACCATATAAGGCAATATAGGGTAATGGTGTGGCTTGATCCTAGGTTTCCATAAATCTCCAACTTGTATTAGAATGAACCATATATTCTGCAGATATGTTCTCAATATGAGCCAGGATATGTAGAGTAGCCTCCTGGTGTGTAGAAACTGGAACATAAAAATAAAAAATAAAAAATAGATATATATGAAGATATGGGAGCTGAATCGCACCTAAGCCACACCAAACCTCCCTATACAGTAGTCAGTGGACACTTTCATTACCTTCTCAGTTGTAAGGCTGTCATACCCGCTTCTCAAATGTGGGGACTTCCTGGGTAACCACCCCAAGTGAAACAAAGTCCACAGTACCAAATGATTCTGGGGATATATATAAAGATTATTGTATAGATCACAGGCATCAAGTAAAACCCTGAAAACAGAGACAAAATATAGGTATATTACCATCAATAAAGATCAAGAAGACTCCCGTCGACTTGAAATAGGATCAGGTCCTTGATGCTTGTTCAAAGGTGCATATGGGGGTGGGAAGCCAGGTAGTCACAATGCGTGAATTCCAAACACATATATTATGTATATAGCAGGCCGTGAGTACCTGAGTCTATATACCCAATAAAGGGTTTCCAAAAATTACTCAATCTGAGAAAGATGAAGTGGTTTAAATAGGATATGGCTTTGTCACAGCATACAATGCCTAAGTAGGATAGCGTATATATGTATATATATTATCCTCTGAAGAGGATTTTCAAAAAAATTCCCCAAAAATGCAGGGTAAATTAGGCCCATATGACATACCCTCTTAACTCCATATATGCTCTATGAATCTAAACAGCAGTGAGCTAAAATAACTTGCCACCGGTGGAAGGTATATTCCCATAGGGGATTGCCGTTTGCGAACCGCTGTAATAGTAGCCTTATGGTGGTTTTCAGAGGGCCTCGTGCCTTCCTAGCAAGGAGCTGTGACACCGCCGTTCCTTCCCACCTCGTGGGCGCCGCACCCTATGAAGACACCGAGCGTAGTGACGTCATTACGTTGACGCGTTTCGTTCGCCAATCACCGCAGACTTCGTCAGAACTGGGAGGGGACTTCATTCCTTTGCCTTATATGGTGCACTAATTGCATACCAAAAAGTCTCAACGTCGCCCTCTTGTGTTGAAAAAGTATCACTACATTCAAAAAATCCAAAGTGAATTAAAAAACATATATTAAATTTAAATTGACTGCTGGCAATAGAGAGGAGGGACCATACTGCAATAAACCAGATCATCTTTAGAGAGGATAATGGAGAAGGATAATTATTATGATTCAAGAAGGGAGGTATCAAGACCAGGTTCAAACTCCTAATTTTAATATTAATCTAGTTGTTATAGAAATTTAATCTACAGTGGGAAAAGAAAGGGCCTAGTGGTTAGGTTCATACTTTGTCCAAATAAGTCCATATTTCCTTCCCATACAGAATACCCCAGTACGAGTTATAGCTCAAGGTATGTTAAAGGTTCCAGAAAATTCAATTTAAGAAAACTTTAAAATTGAGTTCTGTATTTAGTCCGTATGGGACAAGTGCACCCAGGGTATAGATCCAGAGTTTTTCTTTTTGTAAGAGGACTTTGTCAAAGTCACCTCGACGAGCTGAAATATTCAGCAAAAAAATCCCTTTCACTTTCAGGCCTTCTGTTTTACCCCCATGTACTTCTCTAAAGTGTTGTGCCAGTGGGTTCTCTTTTTCTCCCTTCCCTACATTCCTATTTTCATTTCTGATATATCTCAGGTGTTCACCAATCCTAGTCCTGAGGTTCCTTTTCGTTTTTCCTATATATATCTTCTTGCATGGACATTCTATCATATATATTATTCTACTACTGGAGCAGTTAATGAAACTTCGTATCTGGAATGCCTTAGATTTATCATTATTAAAAAACTGGTTGGACTTATGTACAAATGGACAAATTTGACAATGGCCGCATGGAAACATACCACATAGGCCTGTCCTCCTAGTTAACCAATTCCTTTGTGGTGCCCTCTGAAACTCTGATTGTACTAGTATGTCATTTAGATTCCGAGCTCTTTTTGCTACCATTTGAGGGCTCTCCCCTACCACTCTTGCTATCTGCGGATTTTGAGTTAGTAAGTACCAATGAGAGTCCAGGGCCTTCTTGACTTCACCCCATTGTTGTCCAAATTTAGTTATGAATCTTATTGGTTGGTTTACCGAATTCGCCTCTACCTTTGACTTTGGTTTATTTATAAGTTCCTCTCTTGTTCTACCCAGAGCTCTTCTTTTTGCTCTTCTTAGGGTTCTATGTGAGTAACCTCTTTCTCTAAATCTCTTGTAGAGCTGAATAGATTCATTTCTATATTGAGCTTCTTCTGTACAGCTTCTTCTTCTAAATTTGTGTTGAAAAAAAGACATTATGATTTATTACGGAAAGGCTTGACCTTTTCCCCTACGGATAAAATGGACCTGTTTGAGGTCTATAAAGATTTAAATCTATTCCTGAGAAAGATCCTTCTAAGAATTCCATATCTATCTAGAGAAGAACTAAATCCCTGTGACCTTAACTCAGAGAGGGAACAACAGGCATTAAGTGACCTCATAAGTCTTCTTGAGGAGACTCCCATGAGTGGCGAGACTGGGGAGGTGGATGTCTCAAATAAGTGGAAAAGACACACTAGACTTAAAACTCCATCTAGAAGAATGCCCAATATTAGGGAAAACAAATGGCTAAGTACTTTTTTAGACTTAGTACATGATGATCTTGGTAAAATAAACTGGACAATGAGGAACCCTGATAACTTGACTAAAGGTGAAAGAACAGCTCTTAGGGAACTCAAGAATGCTAAAAATATTGTGATTAAAAAAAGTGACAAGGGGGGAAATGTAGTATTACTAGAGAGTGTGGAATATGAAAAGGAGGTACTTAGACAGCTGAAGGGCCTCGATACATATCGTAAACTACATACCAACCCTTTCCCCAAACTCGTTGTTGCCCTAAATAAAAAAGTGGAATTGGCACGTGAAGCAAACTTATTAACTAAACAGGAATGTGACATGCTGACAGTTGATGTTTATAACATCCCCACCTTTTATGTAATTCCAAAAATACATAAAAATCCTACTCAACCACCGGGACGCCCCATAGTATCTGCTATTGGTGGTCCGTTGGAACTAATAGGTAGATTTGTGGATGACCTAATTAAGGATCTGGTCTTGGAACTTAGATCCTATGTAAGGGACACGGGAGATGTATTGAAAAAGATTTTAAATGTAAAAGTACCTAAGGGTGCACTTCTGGTGGGTATTGATGTGGATCACTATATACCTCTATTCCA